CCAGTCTAAGGAACAGATGAATCCTCTCTGAGTCTTTGTATCAGCATCTGCTTCTCGGAGTTGGCTTATGGAAATCAGTCTCATTACTTCTGCCTTCCTACAGTTCAAACTCTCACATGAAAACATAATGACCCGGGCTGTTTCTGTTGCATGCACTGTCAGTCAATGATTCCTTTTTTTTTCTTTTTTGATGTTCTAAGTCTCTTCAGTTTCTAGCCTCGGAAAGTCTTGGATAATTACAAGGGTAAAAAGGCCCTCTATCAGTGCAGATTAGCACCACCTCTGCAGACCGAACTCCGCACTTTCTTTTATCTCCTCGACTGCAGTTGGAAGAGGAGTTACGTAACTCTCACCTTAGGGACCCATCCGACTTTCCACCCATCTCATGTCTTTCTCGGCATGACGAGGGTGGCTGCGTGTTCTGTGCTATTTGATGTGCACGTTTGAAGCAGCCACGTGACCCAGCCTGAAAGGATGTGCCTGTTGTTCGCATCTCTCGCCGCTTTGCCCCAAACTCCCCAAGAAATGTGTTTAAAAGCACAGCAAAGTTGGGCTTTTTCTCTCCCCCCCCCTGGTTCTACATTTAACACCTGAAATCAGAATGTCAAAATGGTGCTGCTGGTGGTTAGCCTCCTGTTTCCCGCCTACTTCTTTTATTTTTTCCTCAAAGGATGCTATGTCATTAGCTGGTTCTGAAAGACCTCCCTGCCCCCCGCTGTCGTTTTTCTGCAGGATAGAGAAACCATTTCATTTGCCTTCTGCAGTGAGGTAAAGCTTCTTTATGGAGTCCAAACTTCAACGTTCTGCTTTGCGAACCCGCATTCCCTCTTTCAGATTGATGTTTCACTTTGCCACGAGAACTTGAGCAATTCTTGCTGACCAATCACACTCCCTAATCGAGCTGTACCTTCAGGACAGCAGTGGCCAATATAAAAGGTTTTAAAGAGTATGGCTTAAGGAATGCTACAAAGTAAATGCTCAAAATGACTTTTTCACCCTAATTGTAAGTCCACCCTATAGAGGAAACTCTATTTTAGCCACATTTATTCTTTATCCAAACAACACCAGATAACACCATTATAGCGTAACAGCAAGTAGGTCCTGCTCAAATACTGGCTTGGGCCTTTTACATTTTGTCTTGATGCATGCTGAGGTTTCTTCAGGTACTCCAGCCTCCTCTCACAGTACAAAACCTAATCATTAAGTCATGCATGAACAGCTGCCATGTGTCTCCCTGTTGTCCTGTGGTGAACTGGTGATTGTAATGTAATTCTCTGTTGCTTCCAGAACATTCATTCTTCAGTTTTCAACGCCCACTTTGGACTGAGGATTTAGGATTGAGTCAGTTGCAAAGTATGGACAGCTAACTATGGTTTCTTGCTAGTTTCTTTGTGGTAATTGGAGCTATAGTGTTTAATAGGGATTTTCTGCAATGGATGTTTGGTCTAACCCTTACGAAAATACAATTTAGTTAGCCAAAAGCACTTGAAGACCATAGCGGCCGTAGCTCTGGGAGTCGGCTGAGGTACTTCGGGCGTTTGCGTAGGAAGCCTTCCAGGCAACCTGAATGCCAAGCCCTGAGGATGCCCCCTGTGTAGACCTGGATTTTTTTTTCCTTGTAAAATGACCCTGAGAACAGCTGGCGTGGAAGTGTCAGGGGAAAGAGCGAGCTCCCTCGATATTCAATGGGAAAAAATAAGACCAAAAAAATATGGGAGAGACTATTTTGTCGAGAGCAAATGAGTTTCAAATGTCTCAACAGGGGAAAATTTGCTTGGAGCATACATAGTCAGCTGAATAATAGCACAAGCAAATTCAAGAAAATCATGCAAGTCACATTATTCATGAAAAGACAAAAAAAGGCAGATGGGAGCAGTTAGATTTAAATACCGAGAATACAAGACGGGGCCTGACACAATTTTCCTATCAAGTCTCACAACATTTGTGTGGACTGAAGGGAATTGTTGTCACTCACTCCAGCCACCGTCATTGTTTAATCCACCAGATGGTCCAGGAGAGACTACAGGGTCACGGTTAGCAAGCTAAGCAGAATTTTCTATGAAGGCAAATCAACTCGGCCTTTAGCATACCCTATTGGACTGCTTGAAAAAGTTAAAGGATATAAAAGGAGGTGTATCATTTTTAGCTGCAGTTCACCACTCCCCGCCAGTCTGCACAACAACAGAAGGAGTGTAACAAGATCTCGTGGCTCAAGATTTTGCAATATTAAGCACAAATTGCCTTGGAAAAGTACAGTCTGTCTCATAAAACACCATATCTAGTTACTGCCAGCCTTTCATTTTATCTGATGGAGTTTGAGCTATCATAATTTCCTGACATAAAAATGTTTGAAGGTCCTATATTTGTCTTCTATACTCATATTTTTCAGTAGTTTTTAAGTGGGAAAGTCTTTATTGCTGCAATAAAGACCAATAATGACTTCCAGTTTGGCAGTCGGGTCAACATTTAATTTTTAAAGGTTTGACGAAGTCTCTCCCACTCTTACTTTTTCTGTACTACACATTAGCTGCTAATGAGCTAAAGTTAGCGACGGACAAAAATCGATGATGTTGTTTCGCAGGTTTTTAATGTACCTGGATTGTCTTTATTCACCTGGAGTTCCAGATCTGGAATGCCTTTAAAATGCTTTTTGAGATGTATTTATTGCTCTGTTTATGAAATCATAAAATGAGATGGCTCCTTTGTGTCTTTGTTTTATGCTTTATTGTTTGTTTTTTCATTACAACCAACTTAGAATTAGATGAGCATAAAACCTAAAATATGTAGATTTGTCAAACCTGGCCTGGAATATTGCAGACTGATTACATATTTTTAAGAACATTGTCTAGATAAAGATTAAGAATCTTTATTTAATCAATTATTCTTTGGCGTAATATAAAAAGAAAATGAGTAATAAAAGACAGCATGGCTAAACTAATGGGCATACATAAAATAAAGCTAAGAACAATTTAAAAAAAAACACTAAGTGCAAATAAACATTTATTTTGCGATGTTACAGATTTAGTTGTGTCGGAGGGATTCTCATTGCCTAAGGCCATAAAGTGCATCCCTGAGACAACTTGTCCATTTGTCTCATTGATTGAGAAAGTAGTTTCCTGCCGACTTGTGGTTTAAAAATAAAACACACAAACTTCTAAACATAATTTTTAATTACACATATAAACGCACTTCCGTTTCTGGAGTGCCCTCTAGGTTCTGCTCCCAAAAAAGTTCCACCAGAAGTCAAAGGCAAAGAAATATTGGTACAATGCAGTGCCACAGCACCTTACCTCAGGGATTGACTCATCATTTGCAAGAAATTATACAGTATGCCAACTTTCATCTAAATCTGGCTCACCCACCAGGAGATGCGCTGAAATTATCAAGAGCAGCTGCTGCCTGGAAGCTGAGTTAAAAAGATATGCAATTAAGAACGCCATTTTTGTCTTCTGTAGTGTTCCTGTCGCATGTTAAATCGAGGCTCTCTGTGGTCAGTGCTCGCAGCGCTGAGGGATGCATCAAGCATCATCTGAAAGGAAAATAGCTGATTATCATATAGCACATCATTATAGCCCACACTGACAATTATGTAATGCCTTCCTCAAAGCAGCCTGTTGCGTTAAAGAAACCATTCAATCCCTGGGGTCACTTGAAAATGTTGTCGCGTTCTGGCTTAAAAAAAAATAATAATAATAATGTGCCACCCTGGAATTTCTATAGCGTTTTTTTTTTCTTTCTTCTTTTTTTTATGAGGGGAAGTATTGTGCTAAAATTAAAGTTTATTTTCTTAACGCCCTAAATTGATTACATGAATGGTCGTATGCTGGTAATGTAGAAATCTTGAAAGTATTGATGAAAGTATTGAAAATAACTGGCAATTAATCAAAATTTTAAATATGAATTAAAAAGAATTAAAAAATACTATTACAAGCTTGTTTTTTGTTTTTGTTTTTTTTATTCAACAGAATGGTTACATGTTTAAAACTTGATGAGATAGCACACTGGCTACCGTAATAGTGTAACATTATTAATGTCCCTAATTTGACATATCTGTCAAGTCCACCTTAGTTTTGTTTCACCAGCCACTTGTCATGACTCCTCGCATTGTGCGCTCCATCCATAAAAATGTCCTTTGTGACTTGTGTGCGTCACTTTGTAACTTTCTTTGATTACATTCAACCACGTTCTTATTCCAAAGTGATAAACCAACAAGACTTGCGCTGGAATGGTGTCCCGATGCAAGTCTTGTAGTCTCAAAGTTTATACTTGACACGTGGGAAGAACTGGATGGATTACTTTTAATAAATGTTTGATTTTTAGTTAGTATTCAATTCACTAGTCGTTAATTTTCTCCTTTTAGCCTGTGGTTATGGTTTTAGGTGGCATCGCCATCTCCGTTTTTATCTTGCTTTATTCCAAAAGTGTTTTTCTATATTCAAGTAACTAAACTATAGTCATTTCAGCAGTGGTCATTATAAAATGTTAATCATAATGACAAAAAAAATAAATAAAAAAATCAATATTTGATCCAAAAAAAAAATCACTGTGACTGATTTTGACAGATTATAACTCCGTTCAGTTAACAATGTTGAAATTGTTCACCACAGCTTGATTGCCCCCACGAAACATAAGGAAAGCAAAATAAATCGACTGATTAAACACAGCGCCGCTGATCAATGATAAGCTTCAAAGTCTTCTAATCTACTCTGTGTGATCACAGTGTGACATATGGTGTTTGTGAGCTTTTGAACAGTGCCAGTGAGGCCACTACACAGCAGGGGATGTGAGATGGGTATCATTCTGGGTGGCTGGGTTCTCGAGTTGATCCCCGGCGCAGTTGGTCCGCAAGTCAATTAAATGACGTGGCGCCAGAGCAGAGCAGAGCAAGCAGATCAAGAGTGCTTACAGTTCAAGGTGTTAATGAGACGACCTTTGACTTTTTGCTGTGGTTAGCAAAGGCCAGGCGGAGGTGGAGCGTTAAAAAGGGGAAGGTGGCCAAGTAGAGATGTTCTCTGCACCTTGCAATCCAGGCCCTTTTCATCCGTGACCACCAGCTGCTCTACCGCTTCCTGCAACACAGGTAAGAGAGCTTTCCCTCTGTTCCCTCCAGATTTTAGCTGTCAAGATTTACACTTATAATAACCAGGATGAACATAAAAGCGGAGTACGCACGGGATCTATAATTCAACCAATCTGCTGTGCCAAGGAGAATGGCGCGCAGCCAAAAGGAATAGAGGAGTGGCGGACCTGATAGAGTGCTCCGCCAATTTTCTAATGCCTGGCACAAGTATGTTGTTAAAGACACTAAAATTGATTCATTTTACATCCAATAATCTGCAGCACACTACAAGATGTCCACAAAAGGTCTATATAGTTTCTAAATGACTGCTGGATACGGTTTTCACCTTGAAAAAGGAGCCGAACTTTAAACCTGTGAGAAAAATCAATCACACATGACATTTAACTGAGAACTTCAATTGCATTTCTGTGGGTTTTTTTGACAAACCATTTCAACTAATGACCACTAAAACAGCCTGACAGCACTGAGGGTACCATCCTTGAGAAATAAATGAGACATGGAGAATTTCCACAATTGGTGATGTTATGTTTTAAGATTTTTTTATTTTATTTATTTTTTATTAGAAGTTAATAAAAGTGATCTAAGGGACAAGAAGAAGAAAGAAAAGACAAGAAAGCAAAAGAAAGAAAGGTAGAAAAAGGATAATGTATTAACCTGTCTTTTTTGGCAAATTAATAAATTTTTTTCTTGATGCAAAACGTTCCAGATTCAAAGACATTACATGGCTCTTATATGTTTCAAGACTCAAATTTCTTGATCTTTTTTCATTTCATTTTTATTTTTTTTTATTAATATGACATCTCAACACATTTTTTGGTCATTTGACTTCAAAATTATCAAAAATCTACACTGTCAATACGACGGGTTATGGACATTCACAAAATTGAGATTTCTTTTTTGTACAGTTTCAGAATCTTCCACTCTTCCAAATTATTATGCACAGCAGATTTTCTACACATTTTATGGATTATAAAGAATTGCAAACAGTCATTCTTTGTGCAGCGTTAAGTACTACAATCAAGTACTACAGCGTAATGTACTACAATCAAAAGTTATTTCAATCAAAAACATCTTAACAGACTGCGTTACATGTTAACATAGGACCTTCTTCAGTATCACCTGCACAATTCTTGCATCCATTGAACTTGTGAGTTTGTGGAAAGTTTCAGCTTGAGTTTCTTTGCAGGATGTCAGAAAACCTTTTACCCTACCATATTTTCTCCTTTTTCATATAAGAAAAGCAAATATTCTATTTTTTTTCCCCCAGATGATTTATATTTAGTAATGTTTCCATTTATGACAATACTCATAAAAAGCAGGTGTGCCTCAAACGCTGCTCTCGTCTGAACTTTTGAAGATCTTCCATTAGCATGCACAATAAGATGTTTGACTAATTTGATGCGATAACTGTTCTCTAAGATCTCATTAAAACATTCCTTTGATGTCAGATTAAAAAGAGAACTATGCTTACATTGTTGCCTGCACGCTTTGAAGTGTGGCGTTTGCATTGGCTGCCATTCTGTTTTTTGTGTGATATTATGCTCTGCTAGAAGCCTGCTTAGCCTGCAACAATGTCACGGACTCCTGGCAAAATATTTTTCAGTTTCACCAGGAATAAAGTGAGCGGAAAAAAAAAATCTAATTAGGTTTAATTAACACTTTATTTTCTCTTCAGTCCTTGAATTTCATGTGGATTCCCTATTGCATTGTTGAAATCTAACTTCTGCTGTTTTATATGAATTATTTCCTGTATGTTCTCTGTCCAGGTGGTCCCCCCTCCTATATGGCCAGGGTACCATGGACATTCTCCATGCTGTTTCTGCTTGTGCTCCACTCTCCAGGGGCCTCGCTGGCCCCAAACCAGCACCTGTGTGGCTCTCACCTGGTCGACACCCTCTACCTCATTTGTGGGGAGCGAGGATTTTACTACAGCGCGAACCGAGTCCACAAGCGGGACCAGGACACTCTGCTTGGTACGAATGCATCTAAGAGGTGGATTGGTTGTCGTGAGGTTCGGTTATGTAATAGTACCAACTAGCAGAAAGATGTCATGTTGCTGTAAGGTTCTGGAGAGCACTTCATTTAATCATTTAAATGCTCATTTTTTACTCCAAGAGCAGCTTTTGTATGTAACTTCACCATAAACGTATTTTGAGAAAATACAAATTAAACTGTAAACAAAGATCAGCATTTTAAAAGGATGCCATCTTTAAGATGCCATAGAAGTATAAATCTGAAAGGTGTGGCATGTAAGGTCAATACCTTCAGCATATTTGCACAGATGGAGACTGCAATTAACCAGTTGTGTTTGCAAAACAGCTGATGTCTGATTTAATGGACAGCAACTGTGAGCGTTGGTTCATAGGTATTGCTGCAGAAAGTAAATACGACTTAGGTCTGGACTTTAACTAGACCATTCCAAAGTCAAGATGCTTTGATCTATACCATCCACTGTAGCTCTGCCTTGTCGGGGGTCGCAGTTCTTTTGGAAGAACAATTTCTGACTCAGTGTTCTGCCTCTATCGGGGTTTTGCTCAAGACTGTTCAGTGTTTGACTCAATTCACGTTTTCATCGATTCTAACCAGCCTCCAGTTTTGGAACATACATACAGCAGGAGGTGGTGCTTTTACAGACCTTGCATGAATTTGGAAGTGATTCCTAGCCGCCAATTGCAATCTGCTGAATCATCTGATAAGGCAGAGTAACATAAAATGATGGTCTCCCATCTTGTTTGCCACTCTTTCGCTGATCAACACCTTAATTGTTTGGCTGAGAATATGACAAGAAACTTATCTTATGCAATCTTATGATGTGACATCTTTCTACTACAGGTGAGGGAACTTACCTGTTCACAGAATCTCACTTGAAAACTACCCCTTGACTCTGGGAAGTTTTTTTTTTCTTTTGTAAAGTATTACTTCTGATTTGCAGAAGGTAAGTTTGTCTGCTTCCTTTTGTGGCAGGAGTTGGGAAATTAACAGCATTACTTTGCCTGACGACCCCCCCCCCCAATCTAGCTTTGTTCACCCACACTGTTTGCACACTGCATTGAAAAGTTCAAGCTTAATAGCAAGAAAGGGCCACATTTGATGGCTGGAGGAAAGATGTTTCTTTTTTTTTTTGAAAGCAACAACATGCAGAAAACTTCACTGAACTGAACGTCACCATTGGTCCAGGGCATCATTAAGTCATTCTGCAGCTTCTTTTTATAAAGACATGCAATTGGTTTAGGATCGCTTTAAACTTGTGTTATGTGACAAATCCATTCATCACAAATCCTGTGAAATCCCAACATTCCTCATTAAGCTATTCCCTAAACACATTATTTAGATCTTCCACCTCAAACGTTCTGCTGATGCTTTGAAGCAAACATCAGGGTGCATCGGTTATGCTATGCTTCTGCTGGTGCGTCATCGTTTATTCTCATCCCCCTGCCCCCCCCTTTCCCCTCACTGTTGAGGCAGAAACTAACAAGGCTAAATGGATCGCTGCAATCAATAGTTTTGCTACGTGTCGACTTTCCGCGAGAGTCTTAGCAGTAATGGTGTTTTCAGCTCTTTTGGCTCGAGCGCAGCAGGGTTTTAATGCGGCGTTATGGGAACTTTTTCTGCTTCTAAAGGGCTCCTGGCGAAAAGGGCCGGAATGGAGGAGCGGCGGTGGAGGGCCCAGTCTGCCCGTGACGAGCCCAAGGTGAAGAGAGGCATTGTGGAGCGATGCTGCCACAAGCCGTGCAGCATCCACCACCTGGAGGACTACTGCAACTGACCACTCCGCGACCGGCGCCACTCGTAGCTTGTAAAGAAGGTCCGGAAGTCAATTTCTGTCCCCGACGCTCGCTGGCTATGTCTTATCAAGTGAGGGAAATAAAGCTTCATGACCCATAACCCGAGGCTCCTCTCTGCAATGATGGAGTTTGTGTTTTTTGTCAGCTGGTGTGGGTAAAGAAAAAAAAAAAGGCAAAAAGTGGGCTGCAGCCGGCGGCTGCGGTCCTGGAGTGCCCTCTGCTGGCTGAGAAGCGACATGGCAAAGATGGAGCGCACAAAAAGCCTGAAGTGAATCACAAATAGATTGGTGTGAAGGATTTACAAAAAAAATATATATATATAAAAAACTTTATTTACAAAGTGAAAATTTACAGCCACCATATTTAAAGAAGACCCTGCTACAACAAAAACTACGTATTTTAAAGATACGCTTTATGCACATTTCATTTATGTTTTGAACAAAAAACCTGATGAAACTATGGTAAAATTTTAAGAACACTGCAGAGAAAGAAAAGACAACTAGTAACTAGTCTTTCCTTTTCGCTTTCCATTCTTCAACTCCACTATTCGTTGTGGTTTCCTGAGACGAAACACAAAATTAGGATCAGAAACCAGCAGCCACAGCAAACAAAAACCAAGAGAGTAGAGAAAAAGCTTGGAGCTCACCTTCTTCAAGAGAATCATTTGCTTCAGTCTGAATGTTTTCCTTGTTGTTCTGGAAGGCCTTGCTGGGATCAAACCTGCGACGAGGAGCGCCGGGCAGCTTTGCTCTCAGCTGCTCCAAATCACTCTTCTGGCGGCTCACCTGGGAACGAAGTTTAGAAACTTCCTACAAAACAGAAAAAGCATTTAGATGCCAGTGTCAAAATACCATTGAAAAGTTGATTCCAATCACTTCAAATCAAAATAGAACCCTTTTAAAGCTAATTAAATAGTTATGCATTTTAAATATACATTACTTTTGATTTTTATGACTTATGGATTCTAGCTAATAAACATGGTTTCTCAGAAATTTATGTCAGTGACATGGCAAGATTACAAAGTGCTGTATCCAAGAATATTAATGGAAAGTTGAGTGGAAGAAAAATCTGATACACCAGTGTATCTGCAGAGACAGATGCATTAATTGAATGGTTCACAGCTGGTGAATTCACCGAATTAACCATTCCCGACTAAAAATTAGTGATGCCATCCAAACCAAAACTTCAGTATATTGCAGATAACATATATATACAAAATATCCTCTATGAAACAAATTTATAAATCAGAAGAAATAAACACTTACCCCCAGATATAGCTTTATGGAAAGGATAAATGTAACAAGAGTTTAAGCTCTTAAGTTGAACGATAAGCTTTTCAGCAATATTCTGAATTTTTAAATGCACCATCATGCTCAAAAACAGACCAAAGGGAATAAAAAATGCCCTTTCTAGGAGAGGCAGCGCTGCTCTACCGTTTTACCTGTTTCAGAGAGATATTTTCATCTTTGAGCTTCATCACATGTTTGATCTTCTGCTTCTGGTTCTGGTGCCCCAGGAGGCGAGCGTAAGCGTCGGCTAATTTGTTTAATTCTTCCTGATTCGCTCCGTTCTCATTAAGCAGCGCATCTCGCTCCGCTGCAAATGCGTTAAGCTGCTCCTGTGGGAACGCACCAACACAAGTATTATTTAGTTTGACAAATTAACATCTGCAGATACAAAAACTGACGAAGAGTAACGCCCATGACACAAAACGGCAAGTTCTGTGGCATGGGGGACATTCGTCCGGAACGGTTCATTTGCTAAATGAAATATATATACATATATATATTTATATAAGCTTAATGGACAATAAAGGAGTCTAAAGTCTAATATATATGAATATAAAAACAATCAGCTGACCTGAAAGGGCTTGACTTTGACGAACAGTTCCTCGTATTGTTTCCTCCAGCGCTCCATCTCGCAGCGTGGGGAGCTTCAAAGATAGGCGTGATTAGCTACAAAACTGCAGATTTAAAAGAAAAGAAAAAGCTCCACATCAGAGAGAAATATTCATTACCGCTCACCTCTTCTCCTGCGCTTCGGCTAATTGTCTTTTGAGTTCCTGTCGCTGCTCCTCAATTTCCCACTGCAGAGTGACCTTCTCCTGCGTCAGTGCCTCAAGGTGCTCCCTCAGAGCGCCGCCATCCTGCTGCTGCTTGTCCAACTCGTGCTCCAGAGCCGCCGCTTTCTCCCGCGAGCGGCCTAATTGGGCCCGCAGGCCGGCGTTTTCTCGTTCGACGTCGTCCAGGCGAGACTGAAACTGATCTCTGTCCCGCTCAGCGGCGCTCAGCCGACTCTCGAGCGCTTTGCTAAAGTCCTTTCCGAGTTCCACTTCCGACAGCAGACTCCTCCTTTCCTGGTCGAGCATCTCCAGGTCAGCTTGTAGTTTAAGCACCTCTGACCTGACCTGCTCGTGGTTGTTCCGCTCAACCTCAAACGCTAGTTTTTCCTCCTGAAGGGCCACGTGCATTTTTAATTTCTCTTCTCGTTCCTCTTGGAGTTGCTGAGATATTTCTTCTTTTTGCCAACTAAGGTCTTCCAGCAGTTTCTCAGAGTTCTCCCTCTCAGAAAAACGCAGTCTCTGCTCCTCTAAAAGTCTCAGCGCGTCTTCCTTTGCGCTCATCTGCGCCTGCAGCTCTTTCTGAAGCAGGTCAAGTTGAGCTGCGTGGCTTGCCTGCGTGGCCTTCACCTCCTCTTCTTTTTGAGCAAGGAGAGTTTGAACCTCATGCAACACCCTAAAAGATGAACAAATCAAGTTAAAATAAAGAAGAAGTTGGGACTAGCAGAACCATAGCAATGTGTAAGTAGGGCTGGGCGATAAATCAATTTTGTTAATCAAATTTTTGAAGACAATTTTTTTTCTCCCAATGCACTCCTTCGGTTTCCATAGTTCAGAGTGACGTCAGCCGCCATCTTGTTTGACAGCTTCCATTTTTCTTTTTTGAAGTTAGAAGAATAGTTGTAATATCAGGAGGATGAAGTAGTAATTTTAGGAGAACTCCAACATAAAGAAATCAAAATGAAGTCATACTTTGGTAATGGTTTACAGACAAGTAAATATGTCAACTTACTATCAGTTTTAGTACGGTATGTTGAAATGATTGTGCAAACGACTGAGTCTATTTTGAAGAAAGACTCACATGAACTGAGCTGTTTACTTCACCTTCAATAATTCCAGAAGCTTTTTTCCCCCCGTAATCAAAACAAGATTTTTCTTGCAATTTTCAGACATTCTTCAGGCAAAACTGTGTCTTTATTCTGTTAATATATATTTCCGCAATTACAAATTCTTGTAGTCTGGCCCTGAGACTGAGTCGTACAACTCATAGAAGGAATGATTGAAATAAAAGCTACTTTTTGAAAGTATTTGTCTTCTCAAGCTCTTAGAAAGGAAAGCAAAAAACTATATATCTACAATGAAAAACAATATGAGCTTTTATTTTTACGCGATGTTGCCAAGCCGTAGTTTTGAGTATACCTTAAACTCTCTTCCTTTGATTTTGCTTCAGCCTGCAGTCTCTCCTGTTGCTCGTCCGTCCACCCCCTCTCTCTATTGATCTCGTCCTCTTTCTGTTCAACCATTTTGTCCATCGCCTCCTTTAGCTGGCAGGTCACTCTCCCCACCTCCGCTTCCAGTTCTCTCTGTCTTCCTTTCGCTTCCTTTAGAGCCTCTCTGGTGCTGAAAAGGAAGACAAGCATTCTGTGAAGCCGGGATGCCAACAGAACTTAAAAGTTTAAAGGCAACATAAATCAAAGTGACTTTAAAGCAAAGGAACACCGGGAAATGCCGACACTCAGGAGGAGCTCACCTTTCCAGCTCTGTGACAAAATCCTCAATCTTTCTCTGTGAGTTGTTATATGCCTCTTGGAGTTCACTCACTGCTGCAAGATGCATCGCTTTCATCGCTGCCACATCACTGCTCCTGGCAAAGGCAGAGGGGAATAGATTGTTGAAGAGTAAATCTTAATCAAGGCAGAGTACAGGAAAAGCCCAAGAAAGCATGAAACTAAATCACAATAAAGATTTCCAACTGTTTCAAAGCAGCAAAGCAGATAAAAAACACACTTTTATGATAAGACTTTTTAAGCCTCGTCATTCTAAAACAGAAATGAACGGCCTTATATGGACGACATGCTGTGCTGAACCGCGAAACAGATTGATTTCTTGGCACAAAACACAAAATGGCCTTTTAAAGAGGACACATTGAATGGATATATGGACGATTATTGGCAAAACAGAAAAGGGAAGTTACCATATTTTCTGAATAATAAGTTGCACTTTTTTGTATAATTTGTTTGATCTGCCGACTTTTTTCTCTTCATGGGACTGGAAAATATAAAAATGACCAGCTTAAGAAATGCTGCAGTTAGTGGAAACAGCCTCAGGCACCCTTTGCTCACCCCTACTTTTGATTTTCAAGCTTTTTATGTCTATCCTGTGCTACAGATTTTTGGCTTATATCAAAGCATCGTCTCGTCGTCTCTGGCTGTTCACCCACCCTTCCAGAAGGGCTTCTGCCTCTCTCAGCTGATTCGCCAGCTCCTCTTTGTCCAGCTGCAGGCTCTGAAGGGCCTCCTGACTCTTCTGGGCCACCTCCAGCCGTTTCTGCTCCTGCTCCTCCATCACAGCCAGCTCCCCCAGAACCTCCTCCATTTCCTCTTTTAGCTGTCTCATTTGCTCTTCATTCTCTTCCCTTTCCATCTCCACAAGCACAGTCAGAGAGTCCACCAGAGCCTGCAGATGTCAACAGGACAGACATTTACTACGGAGCTGGCACTCATTCAGTGTATGATCTATATAAGAGGTTAATGTTTATATAACCTTTTCTTTGGCCAGCTCTTCTGTGAGTGCTGTGTGTTCTTCCTCAAGCTGGATCTGTCTCTTCCTTTCATCTCTTTTAGCTTGCTGTAAGACGATCAGCTCGTTCTTCAGTTGCTCTACTTTCCTGAACCCTTCCTCCTGAGCCTTACCTGAAATCAAATAAGATATTCCTCTCACACAAACTACAAATCTTTACATAACCCTACGAGACATTGGACATTAGGAGGAGATGAACGTACTTCTCTCTTCATCAGAGAGCAGACACTTC